GATCTGAACGAACTGTGCATAAACTTCTTCATAAAGTAATTCCAGACCGATAAGCCTTGCGCCAACAGCAAAGGAGGGCGTAAATGACCAACCAAAGGGGGAGGGAGGAAACCCTTCATAACCGCGGTCTTGATTCTGCACTGCGACAGCCATTGACAAGCATGCTGGCAAATCTAGACCGGAACATCCGAATGCTGACAATTGGAAACAACACACCGCAGGGGTAGGAGAAATATCTGTCTGACCTCAATCACAAAGAGGCCGACAGTTGTGTGGGTGGTGTGGGTGTGGGGGCAACGTGACTCATACTATGGGGCGGGGGGGGGGGGGGTTCAAAATGACATCAGCAACAAAGACCGCTAGCTAGCAACTATGTTGGAGAAAGGCAGCAACCGCATTACGAGGGTCAGAGTGACTTCACCCAAACAAGCTGGCAGCTCTGGGGGGAAGGGGGAAAGATTAACATGCAGGTCTTGATGCTGCAAGTGTGACTGGCACTGTTGGGATTGCAGATGTGCTGGTTTCCACTAATAGGGTGACCGAAAGATGTAATATACCTCAATGATGTCAAGGTACTATAATTATGGGGATCCATAGATCTGAAAGAGACAACATTCACAGAGATTCCAAGGTCGACACGCTTAGAACTGTATACGCTCACCGAGTCACCATTTGTAGGCAGCCATGGACCTTGAAACCCTCAAGCCCTAACCCGGAAACTCCAATAACTCCACAGACCCGAAATCCTGGACCCTAAAACCCTGAAAAGCCACCCTGCCCACCATAAAAGCCATGCTATCAGCCCCTTGACACATTGCTCGGCTCGGCCTTATCTTCGGCTGTAGAAGATTCGTTGGACTGGATCAAACTTGGGTCTGATGTGACCTTCGGCAGAGTCGACTGGGCCTCTGGGGAGTTTTGGTTCCGATGGTTGTTTGGGGTTTAAGGGTTTCTTAGGGCCTTCGCGTTTAGGGAGCTTCGGCTTTGGGGTTCTGAGGCTTTGGATGGTTTTAGATCATGTGCAGCTGCGGTTTAACCCGATGCGACCTTGAAGGTCATTGCTTCATTGATGAGCGTCAGCAGCAGCAACAACGAGAAGTGCCTGGGTTTAGGGATAGGGCTTAGGGAAGACTCACATGCACTCCAGCATGCTATGCTTACAGTCCTTGCACGCTTAGGATTCTCTTTGGAGACCCAGTCACCTCGCTGTGGGTGAAGCAGAACGCTTCATTGCTTGAACGGGCCACACGGCACCAAAAAATCCGTAGCAAGGCATGACTTGTTCGAGCCATAGCGTTTGACAAGCACGCTAGCCACGCAAGCCTTTGCATAGCACGCACAGCGCCGGGCATCTGCGATGAAGGCGTGGAAGGTTCTACTACACTGCACTGTAGAAGTTTTCACGCATTGTCAACTTACTTAAATAAACCCCGTCCCGCATTGTTGACAAGCCCTTACTTAGAGCGCCGGAACCAAGCTCCAAGCTCTCTCCAGGCAGAAGCCAAGCCCCAGGTGCTAAGGCAGGTTATCGCAGCTGCCGCCCCAGGCAGCTTTCAACCCTCAAACCGTTGAAGTTTTTTCTTCACCCACATCGCGTTGAAGGGTTTAGGGCTTCGGGGCAGGCGCATTGCAGCCTTCTCTCCGAACCGCAGAAGCAACAAATAAACACACACACACACACTCACTCACACACGCACTCACTCACTCACACACACAAATCGCACATCCCGGAACTTACCGAAGTCGAATCTCCAGAGCCCCGATCTTAAGCCCTGATACGCTGAGTATAACCTTCGAAGAGTCGGTTTGGTTTTCACGAAGGCCGGGTCGATTTGATCGACGAAGGTAATCTTTCGGCAAAGGCTGATCGGCCGCGGAGCTTCGCACTTCTGGCTTTTTGGGGTTGTGCTTGGGGGGTGCAGAGTCAGCGGCCTAAGTTAAGGACCCGTAAATGATCAGATCACGAATCCGTGGCGGTCAGACGGCAGCAGGGCCTCTGCCAACTCTCTGGAGTGAAACACAGCTTCCAGACTCCCCTTGAAAGACTCGGCACCAAGAAGCAAAGCCCCTTTTGCCCGTAACTTCAAGTTGGGGTTTAGGCCTGAATCCAAGTGTCCAGCGGAGTCTAGACTCAATACATCATGTGGCCTGGGCTTCGAAGCCCGTTACAGCACCGCAAAGGTTATCTCGAATTTGTTTTCACAGATCCTAGTACTTCTTTTCTAGGTTTCGCGTTTAGGGTCTAAGGTAGGGTGCAGATCCTATTTCTGGCTCTCGCGGTGCCTTATGCAACATCCTGACCACACGGTGTTGGTTCAAATTACGGCCACTTCATTTGCAGTCCTTGTGCTGAGAATCCTACGATATAGGGTCTCACTAGAGTCACTCGAGGCTATGTTAATTAAGGGCCCCCTTTTGCAAGTGCTGCTGGGCGGGATCAGAAGCCCTGCCCTTCGGGCGAGGGGCCTGCATGCACAGTCTACACAGGGCATCCGTGGATTGATTGACTATTACGTTGTAGCAGGCCCCGTAAAACTGCTTTAAATTGTGGTTGCCTCTAACACATACTGTCGCATACTGCATACACGTCGTTGACAAGCATCTTCAAGAGCGGCCTAGTCTTGAATTTATGATTCGCTGCTGGGGTGCGGCTGCGGCAGAGGTCGTGCAGCCGGGCTCTGAACCATACATGCTTTTCCAGTAGACCCACAGAGGCACCCTGCATCCGAATCCTCAGACCATATCAGGGACTTAGCAATTTACCATCCGCCACGGACCCTTCCAAGGCACCTCCGTCAATCGGAGGTAAGCCTCCAAGCCACTCTGGCAAGACTCCTGGTGTGCTGCTGACAGGTTGGGACAAACGTAAACTTGTTCAGAGCCGAGTTGAAGGTTCTTGGTTCTTCATTGCTTTCTCCGGTGCCGAACTAGGCTAGAGAACACTTGCAACTTGCATCCCAGCCCTAGATTGTTTCCTTGCACGCGCCGATCCTTTCCACTGATGCCAAGTTGCGGGGTAACATGAACCTTATTGGCTTACATGAAAGTTTAACGTGCTCTTAAGCTCGAGGACCACCGTACACTTTTGTTGAAGTCGTCAACCCTGTCCCAACACTAAAATAATGCAGCAGCACGAAAACTTCCTCTGAGTTTGAGCTCTAGGGTGCAGCCCGAAACCCACCCTGGCCCCAGTTTCCAAAGCCTCAGTCGGCTTGGAACTTGTTGATACAGACTATGACTATGCCTTTTCATCTTCGGGTTTCAAGACCTACAGTAGGGCTCAGTCAGGGCTTAGCGTCAGGGCTGAAGGCAGAGAAACTGCGTGATCGTGTCCACATGCAAGCCATGCTGACCCAGGATGCTTTAGATCTGGATGCAGTTCAGAAGCTTCAAGCTGATCCACATTCGGAGAGGACCTGGGCTTCGGGCGGTTTATGCTCGAGACACTCCTGGCTGATTTAACCCTTGGGGTTGCTTGGCGACATACGTTTCACCTCTAGCTCAAGCCATGGAAACTTCGTGGGAAGCTTCAGGTCGTAAATCCGGCATGCCCTCTGACCCATTTCGAAACCACTCCAGGATTGTGCTTCTCATCTTTCAGCACTTCTATAAAGACCGTCGCGCCACCCAGCCAAAACCCCAGATGCAACACCCCTTCGTCCTAGTTATAGTTCGGAACTCCCGTGCCTGCGGCGTGGGAAGGCGGGTCAGCGGCAAGCTTCCTAGGCCTGACCTCGGGCTTTGAAGCTTGCCTAGTTTTGGGTTTTAGGGTTTAGGGCTTTATAGGGGCTAATGGTGCTTGGCACTCACTGGCATGTGGACAGCTTACTTACAAGGAGGCCATGAGGTGGAGGGTTTGCGTTTTACGTCAGGGTTCTGGCATCGCGCAGCCTAGAAGAATCAACGCTCAAATTCTTCGTGTCGAACTTCCTGGATTCCTGCGCTCTCGATGTACTTGATTCGCGTCTCGTCAGGTACGGATCAAGAGCTTGCTTATGCCTGGGTGCTGGATGCAAGGCTTAGGGTTTGGAAAGGGCTTAGAAGGCTTGAACGCCGTTTAGTATATCCATCGGATTAAGCCCTTACTTCAGTAAGTCGAGTCTTCTGCTTCCCCGAATCCCGGAGACTGGGCGTCGAACACGGAAGGGCTCGGGGGCACCGGTGGCAAGGATGGCTCCGCAATGTCGACGCGCGGCTGCAGCGGTGCGGCAGTTCCACTGGGGTTGAATTATTGCAGCTGGGCTCAATAATTGAGTCATTGAGACCTTGCAAATGAGCTCTATGAATAGTCCCGAGCTTGAGATTTTCATTTTGATGGTAGCGCTTGGTTTCGAGATTTTAGCGACCTTTGAGTATGAGAGTTAGAGTTCGAGGCTGGGTGCAGGCACACGGAGGGCGTGAATGCTGGGGAGTAACAAGTCGAATCAGGATCCCTGAAAATTGCACCCCCAAGCTGGAGAAATTCTGCAAGCAACGGCCGCTACACTAGCTTCAAGACACATATAAAGCCCTATAGAACTTCCTGCATGACCGATCGCGAACATGAGGTTAGGTTAGGGCTTCATAGATGCCATTGTATGCCATTGCAAGACGAAGGGGGCCACATCATCAAAATCTGTCTGAATCCCACAGTCCTATACCCTCTCATCTTGGCAGGTCAAACTTTCCGGATGTGCATGCATGTGTGTATGCAGGCGTCTTTGATTATTGTGTACCTCGTTTCTTCATAGAGCTCTTTCACAGTTGTTTCCTGTGCCGTCAGCTTTTTGGGCAACCATTACATCTAGCTCCTTCCTGCTATTCTGCGCTGTTTCGAACCGCTTTGTTCAGTGTCTGCCAGGAGAGACCAAGTGGGGTTTTAATTTTTAACTTGTTTTGGCCTTGGGCCTTGAGGTTTAGTCGCGTTGGTTGGTTCGGGGCTTACAGCTGCACTGCGTCGGCTTTTGCAGGTCTGAGTCTTCAAGCCCAAACGACCGCAGACCAGTTCATGAACATCGCCTGGCTGCAACTGGCCGGGCCTGTGTTTAGCATTAAACCCTAAACCCCCAAACCCTGGAATCCTGTGAACCTAGAACTCTGGCATTTCCTCTGCCTTGGCAGGGCCTTGCTGCATGGCACCCAACGGGATCCGGGAGATGTTAATCTCCCAGGGCTCGAAGACCGGCCTGGCCATTTCCGGTCGATGTTTCAGCGTTTGCTGTGCGGCTTCTGATCTAGTGCGTAGAGGCGCAAGTTGCAGAAGCTGCTGGGATGCTTGATGGATGTGCAGTATGTTGCAGCTGGAGCAGAGGCTGGAGACGAGCGTCTCCGACAGGCGAGAAAAACATTTTGTGGAACAGCATGTGGTTCAGCAGGAGATGGGGTACGGTGTCAAGACTCTGCCTGCTACTGCGTGATCCCTAAGTTGGTAACTGGTTCCCTTTGCTTCAGACCCATCCTGTCTGGAGCACGGCATTCTGCTCGATGGACTGCGCAGACAGGACGATCGGTGGTGAAGATGACACTTTCACCACCCTTCGTGAGGCTGGCTCGGTCAACTTGTACCAGGCAAGGTGGCCTTGTCTACTAACTTGTCTGCTGTCTGGCATGACGTGTGGGAGCAGCTACGTGAGAGGTCATCTTCGCCGGCACCGAGCCTGGCATCCGACAAGATGGACTTGTGCCTTCGGACAAGACGGTCGATGTTAAACCCGATGCCTGCATGTCAGACTCTATTTGGGCACAGGTGCGCGGTTTGCCGACCAATGTACACAGCTGCCAGGACTCGATGAATGACATGAAACTATTGCTGCCAGCCGAAGGGAAGAAAAGTTTGACCTGCTGAACCAGGCTTCGAAATCCTCTGTGTTGACAAGTGGAGGAGTGAGGTTTGGCCGGTTTGGCCTTTGCAGGGGTGCCTGCTGGACCATCAGATCAGATGCCATATGGATCCGCACGCAACTCGGTGCTGCTTTTATCGAACATTATGATGCTGGCCTCAACAGTCTTCCATGAATGAAAAGCAAAATTAAGATATATGGCCGACCGACTACTGAAAGGCCTTGGCGCTCGTTTTCGAGGGCGGGATGTGCTAGGCTGTGGAAGGTTGTGCGGGTTGTGCACCGCCAGATACATATCACTGTTCCGCTGATTTCTGTTCCGGGTCCTTATAGGCTCGAGTACATGCAGCGGCCGTGGGAGTTTCAACCGACTTAGTCGAGAAATCTTTGGAACACGTCGGTAAACTCTACGGTTGAGATTGCCAGCTCATGGTTGGATTATACAACTTTTGTATAACCCCAAACGGTTGAGGCTACCTTCTCCGAAACGGTTGAAGTTTGGGAGACGGCTCTCGGTCCGGGTGTCCGCTGCTCAGAGGGAGCTTGTAAGCTCGAAGGCTTGAAGAATCTTCGTTTGGCGAGTTTGGATTCGTCAGTAGAAGATGTAGGGTTTTGGGCTTTGCAGGCCTGTCCTATCTGCCTATCTGCGTTGAGCTGCAATTTGGATCTTCCTTGCCTCGACAGCTGTGCAACATGCGATGCCAAAGACACGGCAGCTGACTTCATTCCCTGGTGAAGGTCATCTCCCCTCCTTCCCGCACCCCTCAAACTGCACTTGCTAAATACCCCAACCTCAGTGAGATCTCCCGGACGAGCTTGGAGGTCCCTCTTTGGGAACTTTCCTTTCCGGCCTTTGCTTCGGCGGCCGCCACAGTCGAGCATTCTCCTCATCGCCCCACCGCTTTGGGCAGCGTCGGGTGCACTGTGGAGGTTTCAGTCAGTGCAGAGTTGAACCTGGGGTACCGAGATGCTGGGAGTCTGAGATTCCTATCCTGCTAGCGACGGTGCAAACGGCTGTTGACATGGTCGAGGCTTCTGAAGCTAAGGGCTTAGCGGTACCAATGCAAGCGTTCGAAGGCCCAAGAAATAAAACCTCAAACCCCTAACTCAGGACTCCTAAACTCAAAAGTTCTATATACAACCTCTTCTAGGGTGTGTTCTACAGGGTCTGATAAGGTTTTATTGGGCCCATGGGGTGTATGCGCCTTCAAAGTCCTGTACCCTGAACGCAGCGACGACATCGATCCCAGGGAAAGTCATCGTGGAACACTTGACAGACTAGGGGTTGGGTTTTTCTGTTCGTCGGAACCTATTCCTGGTCTGCTCAAAAGCACGGCTGTGTATTCGGGGCTCTTCCTCCTTGAGTAATGCAGAAGAACTCCTTCTCCGACCAAGTTCGGTCCCATCTTATGCTCTATATTGCTTACCGACTGAAACCCTGAATCCGGTAATTTCCTGATACTTTCCCCTCTGGTTCCTTCGTGCCGCCGTAGCATGAAGTCGTTGAAACTTAAGCCTCCACACTGCCGAAGCCAAACCTGGCCAGTCAAATCTTAAACCCAATGCAGGTTAAACACCAAATCTTAAGCCTGCACCACCAACCCACAGCACCGACTCGCATGTTGAGAGCAACGCAACGTCCTGCAGGTCAAACGCGAGGTTGCTCGTGCTCGTGTCCTCCCTGGCACTCGTTTTCGGGAGGCAGGAAAGATTTCGGTGGCGACAGTGATGCTGGTGGCGATGATGACGACAAAGGGCCAGTGGGTTGTATGATGATGAAAATGATAATGATAATGATGATGATGATGCCGGTGATGGGACGGTGCTGCTGGAACTTCTCTTGCGGGGAACGAACAATGATGGAAATAAAACCATCACAACTTACAGTTGCAATGACCTGGAACAAGATGCGCCCTCCCGTCTTTGCAAAAAACCCGTAACAGGTTCCCGAAATCAACCGCAGGGTGACAGATCAACAGTACGGAGTTTAGGGAAAGATTCTAACAACCGCCCATCCACATATTCTCGCTTCTCAAATTGCAGCGTTAGGCCTTTATCGTTCAGGAAGTCCTACATACCCTAAGTCCATGCCCTGCCCAACAGCTACATGGAGGTCATTCTCAGAAGTTAGCTCAAATTCACATGAGAACTTCAGAAAAATAGACCCGATATAAAACCCTGAATAGTAGAATCCTTGTTGTAAGGGTCGCAACTGTATCCCTGAATTTTAAGAACCCAGAATAACGCCCTTACAATACCCTTGTTCATCAACTCAAAGCACTGGTCAGTCAGGGTTAAGGGTTTCTTTGTGTGCAGCTCAGTCGGCCTTGAGGTCTTGAGGTTTCAGGTCAGAAGGTTTCAAAGTTCTGATTTGTGGCCTCGTCTTGGCGCGACGCAAATATTCCAATGATCGGACCTGCAGGCAGAGCACGCCCTCAGCGTACAAGACCTAAGGAGCTTGAATGCGTGAGGTCTGCCGGCATTTCTGTAGTTATGCAATCCTATATCAACGTATGACCATGCCATATGCTAAGACCTTCAGTCGAACAACGTCCATTTGTGAAGAAGCTGATGAAGCTTCTAGCGGACGCGTTATGGGAATGCTTGGGTGGCACGGCTGGTTCGTGCCGCGCTGAAAATTGCCGGCTGAAGGTGTGGACTTGGTTGGATGTTCTCCGGGGGCACCATGTGGACTGTTCTAACTTACTCTTGGACTCCCATCGCTGCTGCGCGCTGGATGCAATCTAGGGAACGCCGTAAATGAGTTGTGGTTCCGGTAAAGAGGCCTCTCGTTCAAAGAAACAAGCAGAGGGCACAGCAAGTAGAACCAACGCCTTAAAGAAATTTAAAGAGTGTCTGACTCCGTGTGGAAGCGCAAGCTTCACAGAAGCTGGCACTTTACCTGTGCCATCAAGCGAAACCTGCAATGTCGAATTATTCGTCGTCACCAGCTTCAACCGCGAGACCCAAATTGGACTGCAAACAAGACTACCATACACTGCAAAAGGTTTACACGAGCCCCCGGTGCCATGCCGGAGAACTGCTCGCGCTGCTGGGGAGGTGCGGCCTCCAAGAACCTGGCAGTAATAACATCTTGATCCCGTAAGCTTCAATTTACGCATGGGGAAAGCTGAAAGACGCTGAAGCTCTGGTGCAATGCGTGTTGCACCTAGTGACCTAGTGTCGACACACAGATGCGACAATGCAAACAGGAGTGCCCATGCTCTGCATCGTGGTGGTGGTGGTGGTGGTGGTGGTGGGTGGCTGCTGTTGCTGCAATCAGCAGAGCAGCAGAAGTAGTCGCGGGCAGTAGTGGCAGCTGTTGCTGGTGTTGCTGTCGCTGCTGATGTTGTTGTTGGTGCTGGAGAGAAACCGTGCCAGCTCAAGCCGCCAAATCAACATTAGACACCCACGCAGGGGCTGGTCCTCGAAACCTCGGTCTAGCCAACTTGCTCACGCACTTTTGATCACTTTTGCATCCTTTTGACGTCGACGTAGCACCCAGTTAGTAAGGCGTGCTGCATGCGCCACAAACAAGAGCTTCCTGTCCCGAATCCAGGGAGAGACGCATTCCTGCCAAGCCGTTTGCATTTGTCTTGGAGATGTGAGGGTCCTCATTTTCCGCGAGTTAAGCGAGCTTGAGTTGCTTGCAGTTCAGGCGAAAATTGAAATAATGGGGATGGCGCAAAGTCATTTCATGCATGCACTGTCCTTGCGTCAACGGCAGACCTCTGCAATGCCGCCAAGTCTACACCTCTGGGTTTTCCGAAGCTGACGTCGGATGGCACTGGCCAATACCCGTGCTTAGTTCGGTATTGCTCTCCGGCACGGGAAGCTCGAGTAGGGATGGTCGCTTATGCTTGCAATGGTCGAGGAAGGGATTTCGCACCCTGTTGCTTTTTGAGAACTCATGGACGATGGACAGTGTGCGTGTACAACCGTCCGACCATGCTGCGTCTACCGGCGTTTTGCTGTTGGCAGTCCAACCCACAACAGCAACAAGAGCAACGAGGCCATCTCCAGCAGTGCAACCTAGTTTAGCGAACTAACTTTTGATCACTCCGTGTCCTTATCCTCTTCCAAAGCACCGTCAATCAGTGCAAGGGTATTATTACTGTAGCCTCCATTGCCAGATCTGCGATTGTACCAAAACGTTTTCTGCAAGGCCAAGTTCGAAGCAGCGCCGGCTAGGCTGTCGGCCACAAGCACTGACGATGCATGTCATTGGAAGGTGCTTTCGATTTCGGATTCGGTCCCTGGCTGGCGGTTACAGATTGCTGTGCTCTCATGCGTGCCGAGGTCGGTCGGCTAGACTTTTTTCAGCCTGCGACAAAAGGGCATTTCACTCCTTCCGGCCTTGCGCAGTCGCAACTTATTATAGCTGGTCATTATTGCTGGTTCAACTTTTTGCGCTTGCTCTGTAACAAGGGCTTTTGGTTCGGTGTCTTTCTCGTACTTTGTTCACCTCACCCTTTGTTTAACCTTGTTCATGAAAAGCAAGGCAGCCGGGCAAAGCCCGCTGGCTCTGTGAGTGATATGTTGCAAAGCTTTGTTTTGTGTACAATTGCCCGGCCAGTGTCCCCGGACCGTTGTGCAAGGTGCAGTTTTGCCACTGTTGCCACGCAGCACACGAGCCGAATCCTCCGATTTAGCAGGGCCCTCGGACCATCTCGGACCGACATGAGGGTGAGAGTCTTGTGGTAGTTAGCTGAGGGGCAAGGGTGGCGGTCTCTAGTTCTGTCTGTTCCGCGTCGTCTCGAGCCCTAAGTTGGTTTGCGTGTCTTGGATTTGATCAACACGTGGAATAGCCTGATGCCCGCCAAAGCTTGAGACGAACCGTGCAAGCATCGGAATGGATGAAGGAATGTTGCTGCTGTTGTTGCTGATGTCTCTGTTGCCGTTGACGTTGCGGCGGTTGCGGTTGCGGCTGCCGTTCCCGCAGCCGTAGCCGCTTTGGATGGAGTTGTTGTAGGAGACGGCGCCCGTACGGGGCCGTGCGTTTAAGCACATTTCAGACCGGGGTGGGTGGGGGGGGGTGGTTGGGGGGCTAATGACGTCCGCTTTGCGCAGACTTGCTGGCCCAAGCCTAGATTGCCGGGATGTCCGGCTGGCTGGCGCTGACTTTATTCTGCGGCAGACAGGCGGGCTCCTGCGACTGCGGGCTTTTCCCGAACAGTACTAGAACTGTACTCTCACCGTCACTCGATCCGATTTTTAGGCCTCGAGGCAGTCGCCAACTTTTCGCGTGTCATAATAGTATGAAGGATTTTCATAGAAACTTCAAGGCCTTGCCTTCTGTACAACACTACCGGGCTCTACGCAACGCAAACCTGCAACATGACTGTGGGCCCCAAAAAAGGTATGAAACGCTCTCTGCTGTGACCAGAGCACGATTTTGTAGCTTTGCTTTTTCAAGCTATCCCTTGCAAATAAAAGCACTCTCCGGAAAAAAAGCCTCCCAAAACGCAGAATGCTTACAGTGCAAAACACAGCCGCGCTGTGGCGAGAGCACGATTTTCAAGCAAAAAAGATCTTGAAAATTTGAATTTTCAAGACCCCCCCGACCAGAAAACACTCAAAAATCGACAGAACACCTCGTAAAAATGCATTTTCACGAAAAGTTTGCGGGAGCTTCTAGTGTTTTCGAGACCTGCAAACGTGCATGACCCATACAAAACGCGCGTTTCGCTCGAGTTTTGGCCACTCGGACGTCTTGCACTGACAAAAAATGTCTCCAAACGTGCGGCCCCATACAGGCGCCGGCACCTTCTTGTTGTTGTTGTTGTTGCCGGCGGTGTGCTGGCAATGAACCCTACTAGAACTGCGATCCAAACAAGCTGTTTATGGCTTACTGTGAAGCAGCTTGTGCAGGCAACAAGCAATTGTCTGGAGCTCGACGTCTTAAGCAACCGAAACAAAGGTCTTCAACAACAAGCCTCGAAATCTTTAGAGTTGCGTAGCCCTCAACCCAGTGCACGAAATACAAAGAATCCTCAACCAACTCCCACCGGAGAGCCCCACTCCCCACCGAAACGCTTCTTCAGGTACCCTGTTCCAGCCACTGGTTCGAGATCTAGTTCGCTCGTTCGAGTTTACTCAGAAGCTGAGGCACAGCAGTTGCAAGACTCGTTCGAACGTACTTGAAGTACAATTTGGGGTCTTGTGGGATCCTTGGCGCTCTTTGGAAATCGAAATTCTTCACCGGCCGTGTGCCGGCTTTGGTGGGATAGAGTTTCGAGTCTTGCGAACTTGCAAAGCTGCAGCAAGCCTCGAGATAAACTCGTGTTGATCGCTGTTGAGAACCTGGCGCGAGTCGGCAGCTCAAAGCTGCAGCCGGTCTCAAGACTTGGAGTCCAGTTCTTGACTGTCGCCTTTCTGTTCTTAGTGTCTTAGTGCTGGGGGTTCCTTCTAAACATGTATGTGGCGTTTTCCCGACACGCAACTTGGAAACTCATTCTCCGAAGTTGCGACTCGTCCAAAGGCACTTCTTACTACTTCTACTTGGAAGCCGGACCCCACCACCACCACCACCACCACCACCACCAGTAGCAGCTGCAGCATCATCAGTAACTAACATTACCACCCTCCTCCTCCTCCTCCTCCTCCCTCCTCCCCCCTCCTCATTAGTCTGTCACAACCGTCGTCATTCTGGAAGGTTAGGACATGCTGTTGGTCTAGCGTGAAGGGTTGCATAGGGTCATAGTCACTCCTCAACATGATGCGCAAGCCTCTAACGCCCACGACCGACCAGGCTCACGACGGAATAGAAGAATTGCTTCGCCAAATGCTCAGAACGTCTGCGTCAGGGGCAATAAGACGTGCCGTGAGTTGGATGCGCAGTACCCTGCTTTGCAAGCCATCAATCCTGAATCTAGCCTGAAGAGATGAAGCTCTACACTAACACTAAGCCGTCGGCATCTGAATAAACACCCGCAGTGTAAGCCCTGTCAACGCAACAGCCCTGCAAATAAACGCCAATCCTGGACCATCTGTAGAGTGACCATGTCAAAGCACCTTCTCATGCATCTTCTTGTGCTGACTGCGGGTCGCTGCAGCAGAGCCAAACTGGTCCTTGCATGACTCCATGGTAAGTTGTGGAAATTAGCCAAACCCAATAATAGTGGTGCGATTACACTAGCGGACTAGCGATGTGCATGTACACTGGCCGGAGTTGTGTTTGTGCTCCTTGCGCTTGAAAAGATTACTTCTGCTCCTTCGTCTGTTGATGCTTTCTGGAGGCTCCCGGCAGGCCACTGCACTTTTAAGGGGTATTTTCATCCGCACTATTGTGGGTTTCGAGGCTATCATATACTACCCCTTTCAAAACTTGATGGGGTTGCATTTGTTAATGGGGTTTGTGTAAGAAACCTATAGATCTGGCAGCCATACAAAACCAGAGTTTGGAGCTTGGGGCTGAAGCCCTGACTGCTGGAGGCTCTAGGTTTCTATGCCTTAAGTCTGGCTGGCAGGCTGTCTCTCCTTTCTGTGTCTCCTCTATTTTGCCTGTCTCTGTCTCTCCGCTTCCAGGGCGTCAGTTTGTAGTAGCAGTGTTTGTTTCTCAGAAGCTTTAGAAAATAAAAGCGGGACGGGAATTTAGAACTATTGAGGGGTAGTTTATTATTTACTATTGTGCGCAGGCCGAGTCTAGCTCAATTGAGGGGACCATGACTAATCACGGTCTCACATTAGCTTCGCAGTTCGCATAAGGGGGTCCTTGCCTGTCTATCCCGACAGAACCTTCGCGCTTTCTAGTTGTGGCATGCTGTCTTTGAAAAGCGCTTGCAGTGAGCAGGCGCCCCAGAGCTGGGTGCAAAGGATCTGCTGTTTTCTGTGCGAGCCCAAGGACCTTAACTTCAATATATCCCAAAACCACAGGCATTATGACCCTATGACCATCCCAATCCCCCGACGCCCTTTACCACAAGAATCCCTGCTTCCCCAATCCCTCCTATATATCCCCATATCTCAAGCCTTAGGGGGCCATCTTCAGCCTCAACCTATGGAACAGTCAGCAAAAAATCCTCGAAGGTGGTCTGTAGGCGCTCACAATCGGGAAGGCCCATGTTGGGAAGTCCATCCCGGAGTGCTCCTGCAAGTAGCTTACACTGTGACATGCTAGGTAATGCCGTGCTTGACTCAAAGTGTACCCTGGAGGAGCGATCACAGGATCGCCTGCTGCGCTTGGTGGTGATGATCGATGGTTGGTCGTCGAAATCTTGCCATGACTGTCGCTTTTGTCGGAGTAGTTGTTGTAATTTTCGTTGGCATTGTTGTCGTCGTCGTTGCTATTGCCGCATCCCCTGTTCTGCTGGCGGTCTCGAAAGTCATCATAGTCACCTTTTGGTTGGTTGCTGTGTCGATGCCATTTTTCCGGTGCCGTGAACCCCAGATTGGAGCCTCATGCCCCGAAGACCCGGCAAACGTACCCCCGATCACAACCGTAAACCCCAGACTCTCAGATCTCAAACCCCAGCCGGTCGCGCACAAGCTACAGGGTGGCTCCTTTTCTCCAGCCGAAACTCCAATCCCGAAATGTTCTGCCAATTTCGGCGGGCCTGCTTCATGCTGGTTCACCGGCTTCCAATCGTTCCTCAGAGGGCCGAGGAGGGCATTGCGGCATGGCCCAATGCCGAAACCGCCAACCCTACTCTACAAAAATATCTTCAAGCATCGGCGTTTCAGCTTGCTGGAAAGCAACCCTAGTTCCTAATCCGGGTCACGAGAACAGCTGCAGGCGACTGTGGCACACGTTCCACTGTTCCAGTCGTTCCACTCGCCCTGTACGTTACCTGCTCTACTCATTCCTTTCGTTACAGCGCGAGTGGCGAGCTGCGGGAGTGGCGGGAGTGGCGCGAGTGACGCGTGGACGACTTCAATTCCTCGCCCCCCTCCATTTTTGTGCAGTCGCACTGTTCTGGGGGCGCCAATGAATCAATGACTCGCCCTGTGCCTTGCCCGCCGTTGCAACCAATTAGGTGAGACAGTCCATGTGCTTGAACTTCGGCTCCTTCTTGGGCTTCCTTCTCGCCCCTGCAGTTCTCGAACGAATGTCTCCAGCTATCCATCGTGTTCCTCCTTTTCCGTACCGGCGAGAGCGTCCTGGATCGGCCGAATCTTCATCTCGTGCCACTTAGCCTTTGAGCACTTTCGGCATTCAGGATTCGGTAAGGTAGAGCTCCAAACATCGCCGAATGCAGAAGGGAGGCGTTTTGAGGAAGTGGACCCTTGCCCTTGCCCTACACCTCAAGCAAGTGTTGGGCTGGCTTTTTCATATGTCTTGGCGGTTACTATTCACTATTCATGGCAGAACCACATCCGAGGTCACATCCGATGTGCAAATGCCGACATCACCCCGGACCACGTAAGACGTAAGATAGCAACTCCGTAACGCGGGCCTCAGCGAGTCTCGTAGTATATATGGCGATCTTGGAGCACCAAAACCACCCAAAGTCCTATCCGTCGTCCCACAACCGACCCGATCATTCGCTTCATACTTCAGCATCTTGCAAAATCTCAACGCTTCTTCAATCTTGCACCAGGCCGCCGCAAACCTCCAACCGCTGAACCCTGAACCGCCATCTTCAGCTCTTGAAAGCTTCCAAGGCACTGGTTCAGGGCAAAGGCCCTCTTGTGTGGTCGGAAATCGACCTGGTTGGAGATCCTTTAACCCTAAAGGGCTTCGGGGTTTGGGCTCCCGGCTTTTTGGACAGCTTAAGGAAGCAGGAAACTGCTAAAATTTCTCAAGCATGAGCTACCCGTGAGCCCTCCATCGGCTCTGCACTGACATTTCTGGGTTAGAGGGCCTGCGTTGTTGGGTCCTTAGTTCCAGGGCTTAAACTGGTGGTGGTGGTGGTGGTGGTGGTGGCAGTAGTAGCAGTACGGTAGACACGTACTAGTATTGGTATTGGTTTTAGAATTAATCTGTGTGACAACCGACGGAGGCCTGGAAGGTGGTCGGAGGCTCGCTACAGATCGACGTCGCGAGGGAGGTCATGCTCAGATCCTCAACAGACGCCCGTTTCAACTCGTAACGTTTGCGTGCTTTAAAATCAGTTTTGATATGTTATAACAGCACAGAAAAACATGCTGTATCAGATTACTGCACAATACATTATGTAAGCCATGGTTCGAAACAAATCAAAGCTTCGGGTTTCAATTGCGGGATCTGTGGCCATCCAGGGGTGGTGAGATTTTGCTTCCAGCCCAAGTGTAAAGCATACGGTTTCAGAGTTGAGGGTGTGGGCATGGGTTCAGGGTTCTAGGGATTCTAGGACTTCTCCCAGGGCGTGGTAGTCGACAGAGAGGGAGAGAGAGAGAGAGAGAGAGAGCAATAGGACGCAGAGAGAGTGGGAGAGGAAAGGACTTAAGCAGATTGGCCCACAGGCTTGAAGAACGTGTAAACACTGAACTCCGAAATCCAAATCCCCAAACCCCAACGCCGAAAAAAAGCAAAAAAACACTAGATACCGCTCCGAAGCAGGCAACGCACGTGCGGACAAGGCGGCGACAAAAAAACTCTGAACCCAGCGCCGGCTGCTTAGAATGTTGGAGTCTGGATGCGCCGGCTAAGGTTGAAGAGTTTTGACTGGCAACTCATGCTCATCACGAACCTTTGCTTAATGCATGTCTCTTCGTTACTTAACGTTCCGAACATTTTCTGTCTCATGGCACATGTGCAACGGCAGCTGTTCGCGCGAAACATGGGTGGATCCTGCTTAGTTCAACTTTCAGTCAGTGCGCATTGTGCTGAACCGCATTGTCGTTCTTCGGGCACATTCACAGCGCTGAAAGCACCTCAGCCTCCCAGCTTCAACAGCACCTGAACGTGTGCAGCAGCTGGACAAAGGCCCAAAACCTGAAGGATTTCTGAACATCAGTGGACTGCGCGCGAAACTACGGCGATAGTGCCTGTGGGTCAGCCAGCCCAGAGCCAGCTATCGCGAAGGTCCCGTTCCATGTCAAATGTTGTTGACGTCGTTTTCTCGGCTCAGCATTTTATGTCAACAAGGCATCCTCACCTACACCTGGACCACATGGCGTGGCGATTCTGTGCAAAACCTCCTTCTCATCGTTATCCATCAAATCCTTCAGGCGCAATGCACGCTCTCCGAAAAAAGGTTAAACCAGCCCAAAGGTATCAAACAAGGTCCGAAGACACTGTGCGAAATATGTTGGCGATCTCTTTAATTCAACGCATGGAGGAACCTTCCGTGAATCCTGAACTTTGCAATCTCCAACAAAGAAGCTTTGCCCTTAGAGTCTATCTCATTTCCGAGGAGCTGAAAAACGTGTTCGCTTGGTTGTGGCTGTGGTGGCGGTGGTCTGGGAAGTCAAGCTCTGACCTGGCAATTTCAGGCTTCGCTGCTTCTGAGTTACTTTTCTTTAAGCGGGTGGCGGGAAAGCTGTTTCAGAGTCTGTACTTTCTGGCGAATGCTTATAGGTCTTCAGATGTAAATGTTTGAGATCGCTTTCTGTAATGATCCGGGATTGATTGCAGGTTTCCAAATCACATACCGTTTGCGAGGCCTGCATGGTGTTTGAAGTTTTCCAAGTCCGACGGTGTTCTTGACTGACAAAATTATGTACGTTGCCGGCGCATGAGATCGGGCTGGTCAGGTTTCCAAATTTTAAGCCATGGAGATTGGCTGTACAGCACCACTGTTTTCTGTCGCTCTCAAATGCTTTAGAACTCATTCTCTGTGCCCCGGGCACTCACAGAAATCAGATGTATGATGCTATTGCAGCTGATGTCGAGATCATTGGTGCGGGCAGTCAGTCACAGCGGGGAACGTATGCTCTCCATGACGAGTTCTGCAAGAAACCCGGGACTTGTAAAACTGTCCATTCCAGGCCTTCCAGCCAGTTCGACAATGTGTTCGGATCTTCGGCTGTAGGATCGCGAGTCTTCCTCGGCTGGGATGCTGGGTCGTGGCTTCTCCTGCCCATGGAAGGTGGACAGGCTCAGTTTTGCGGGATGCTTGGATATTCGCCCTGAACCATCAGGGAGTCCACGGCTTGCAGGTTACCCAAAGATGTGATACACACCACGGAGGTTTCACATCGCCAATGACATTAATTACTGCTATCTGCTGGTGGTGAAAAGAGAGAAATGCAAAGCTGCGCCGTACTGTTGCACAAGAGCCCGCTGCTGCCCTCAGCCGCCGCCGACGACGAGTACTACAACAACCACCGTCATGATGACCGAACAAGTGCATCCAGTGGCCAGCATCTAAGCCGATGTACGTCCATGTTGCCAAAGCAGCCGTCGGCCAGAGCATCCATGCACGAACTATGATAACATCCATGCTAGCAAATCATCCATTGGCAAGAGCACCCATCCATGGCTGAGCGATTATAGCGCCCATGCTACGAGTACATCAGACCTTCCGGAACTTTGCAAGATAGGTTTCGAGATTTATTGGGCAGTGGGTTCACGGAATAGCGAGGTTTCTCGGAACTTTGGACCGCGGTTAGGATGGCACTAAAACGCAAAGATGTTTTGCAAATTGCGATGAAATCACGGGTTCCTGATGTGTCAGAACACAGAGCCAGCCAGCCGCCCACTGTAAATAACTTTTAATGAAAGCCCTCTTGTCGCACCACTCTGGCCCGAGGATGCACACGCATAGTGAATAGTGGTTAAAACTGCGAAAATGTTTGGATCGTGAGTGGGCAGGACACTTTAACTTTTGTTCCTATTATGTGCTTACTGGGCGAGATGGGCTTGTTCATTTCAGCATACCATGTCCGACTTAGACAGACAACACCAGAATCCAATGATGTGTAACAAGTCTTTTTCGAGCAGCTACTCATGCAAGGCATGCCGTTGCCAGCCCCATTGCAGCTCCCATCCATCGGATGGATCGGTGCTGGAATGCAGCTGGCGAAGGCGTGCCCCTTCACAAGCAGTTTTCCATGGCGCTTGAGTCTGACTGTGAAAAAAAAACCTGGGGCTAGGGCCACGGTGAAGTTCAATGGTGTACGCGGGACCCAAATGCTTGAGTCCACACCGGGCAGCCCGAGGTCATCTGACGAAGCAGTGTAGATGCCGTGGCTACTGTTTTTAGATGGTGCCATGAGGATACATCGAAATGAGACCCAGGCTGCACAGGCACGGATCGGAGCTGTCAAAGTCTGCGAGATTCTCGCAGTCGTGCCATTCCGTATGTCAGGCATGTCCGAGAGCTGCCCTTCAGTCGGTGCCACGAGGATACACACGGAATTAACAAAGCTGCACAGGCACGGATCGGAACTACCGAAAAGACTGGTAACCAAGACCACCATGTCTGACCTGGCATGCAGTTATCTATTGACAAACTTGTATAGACTTGCGGGGGCGCACCTTCCGAAACCAAACCACGTGCACAGCTCGACGGGGATGTGGGCGGGGAGGTCTGGCTTTAGATTTTTGTTCAGATCTTACATTATTGAATTATGGGAGGGGTGCTCATGCAAAAATGGTCTGACTTGAGCCACCAAGAGGCAGCTACAAAAAAGCCATCAAGCTCTTCACTTGGGATTCAAGAATTGAACGATCTTTTGCTGGTGCTGCCGACACTGTCTGCACTTCGCACTACGGTGATCTGAAGCGTCGCGACGCTATGGGCTTACACATCCAACCTCAAACTATACGGATGCTGGCAGAAGTAGTGGGAAAACCATACTACCAACAGCAATAGTGATGATGATGTTACTTGCGACCAGAGTGGCGATGATCATGGAACAGCAACGTTGCGTTTGCAAGTCGGTCAAGCAAGCAAACAATACATACACGGAGAGTCATGATGGTGATGACGATAGTCATGATGGTCGTGAGGACCAGAACGATACTTCATGATGATGGTGATACAACTCGCCAAGATGCACACACCCCCGAAACCCTTGCAAACGACCGGGTTACCGTTCCTTAACCCAAAAGCCCGAAACTGACCAGGAGTGCTGTACAATTCCGCCAGCTCGACTCTCCTACACATTACGCTCAGGCACACGAATATTGCAGAACCTGGTGTGTTGCTGGCTTACCCACAGTGCATGCAACACATCTCTGAAGCCTGGAAGAGACAAGGAAAGCGCAGTGGCCCTACACCAGTACTTCTGTCTCCAGGCTGCCGGAAGTTCTGGCGTTTCTTCTGCTCGAAAACCTTTTGTGCAAACACACCCCCCCCCCCCGTGCTGCTGGGATTCGGTGACTCGACGGCTTTCGGGGTTCATGAAGTCCAGGCTGCAGGTTCGCGTAGGGCTGAAACTTGATGGGTTAGAGGCAACGCAGAAACTCATATGCAAAAGCCTAGCAAGAATGTGGGCGAGTCCTAGACACACCAGAATCTGAAACATCCCAAACACCAAGCACCCTGAACCCCGGAGAAGCCAGTTTGAACCATGTCTGGACCGTGCAGTAGCCGGACCAAGGCAGCAGCATCAGCATGGTTATGAGAATCAGAGAAGCCTAAGGACAGCATGTACCGTTGATGAGAGTTCTGAACATGAATCTGAACATCAGCGTAATGCTCCGGCTGTTACATCCGTCACAGCATCGCAAGCACTCTCGGGACCTCGATCGGCTGGTTCGGAACTGCCACGGGCTCGCTAGGTGCTGCCCGCGGGGAGCGGGGCGGACCTCCGGAAGTGGCGGCGGAACCCGGGATTCTCAGGTAATAAACCCGAAACCCCCTTGGTTGAGCATCGGTTGCTCGAAGGAGGTGCTCACAGTGCTCAGGCTTGAAGTTTGCATATGGATTCTGTCGATTTATTAAAGTCTATGGTCTATGGGTAGCAGCATCAGGGTTCAGGAACAGTTCGACTTGCTACAACTAGGGGGCAGTGAGCACCGAGGTTCGGAGCACCTAACGTGTGCTGAGTGCACGCAGCTGATGCTTACTCTTCGGATTGATAGGCTTGTGCATAGCCTATGTCTTATTGTGGAAGCCGCCGGGATCCTTACCGAAGTTGCCGATACCCGAAAGTTTATTTTGTTGGCTGTTTAATGGTTGGGATCCCTCACACCCAATGCTTGAGGCGAAGACCGGCAAGTCAGCACCTAAGAAAACAGATTCCCCAAGCGCCAGAAAGAATCACAACACATCATTAATCCATTTGCCTCTGTCCAAAGCTGAAGTCTGCGTTTAATGTTTCAAGAGAACGAACACACGTCACTACACAGGTGACACCGGTCCGTCAACAATACTAACGAAGACGCATAACTGGTTCTTCTTGTTTCGCTCTTGTTGCCTGCCAGTGGATCCTCCTCTGCTGCACGCTGCATCGCCTGACGTTCTCAGGTGAAGGTCAGCGGCTCTGAGTTTTGAGGGTCAGAGGGTTTGGAGGCTTTCAGGTTCGGGGGTTTAGGGTGTAGGCTTCAGCTTCGGAGTCTCGTAGGTCTCCAGCCAAACTTGGAAAATAGGAAACTTCTCAGACGTCAGCTCTTGGGCTTCAGGAAGAGGGAAGAGGATGTCGGCGACATCGGCTGATTTGCTTGTATCGGAGGGGAGGCGTATCCGTTGAGTCTCAGAGTATAAGGCTGAGAGAGATAGCAGCTAAATGCTGCCAGATGCTGCAACCGTGCATCTTCATTGACGCTGCAACCAAATCCAGATCCCTAAACTTTTGTCGACTTTCAGCGGCGCTGAGCCCACAAGCTTCCGCCTTGCCGAGACTTGTTTAATCAGCCCGAGGCGCTCGGCTGCCGATGCCAGGATTGTCCGGTAGAATCGTCAAGGGATTGAAGACAAAGAGAATGAAAGGGCGTGGTGAATGATGGCGTTCTAAGACTCAGACAGGTCCACATGCTGCAATGTCTCATCTCAAGCACTTGGACTTTCACACCCTGTTGCCCAAGGCTTGAGGCTTAGCATGGCTTAGCTGGGCGGTGTCGACATACGAACTCTGTGTAAGCATCCTCGGCTTTGAGTCTGAACAAGCAACCCAGGCACCCAAGGAGAGCGACCTAATCCCAAATCATCTCGTGCCAAGAAAACCTTCTGCCGCGTGTTGAAGCCAAGCTACCCAAAGACTCGGTTGCTGGCTTTTTCCTTCCTAATCAGCGCAGCAAGCGTCAATGTACAGGCAACGGGGCTTCTATCATAGGGAAACCGCACTGAAACCCTGAGACCGAAAACCAAAATCCTAAACCCCAAGTCCTTAAGCCCCTAGGCAGAATCCTTCTCAAAACGTCATTTGAAGCAAATGCGCCTCTTCCTCAGCCGCCTTGGCGGCCGCTGCGGCAGCAGCCAACTCGGCCTAACAGCTTGAAGGAATAACGCTAGTCAGCATAATGCCACAGATAGACACTAAAGCGCAGCACTAATAATGGCAGCAATGACGATCATAAAGCTTTTACTGATGCTACAGTACTAGTACAATGCCATGGGTTGTCGACCGGCCAAGGGGTTTCTAGTGTTTTGGGGTCCAAGCCTTTCGGGGTTTTGGGTAAGGCTTTGGGGTGTAGGAGGAGGTATTTAGCGTTTGAGGGTTACGTATGGCTCCCGTCTTGCAGGGACTATGAGGTTTGTCGGGATCCAAGCCCGAGTCTTAAAAAAAATCAGAATCCGAGTTCCTGCAATAGGAGCTGTTGTCGCTACACCCCAACCAGGAAAGAGCTGAGACGCCCAAGCAAACGTCACTGTGCATTGGAGTGCTTGGTTTCCTTGTGTTGAACGCACAGCCCAAACCATCCTCGCAGGAAGATTCCAGTCCCACTCATGTCAACATTAGAGCCAAAACCCAGCGGTGGAAACTATAGTACTGATGAGCGAATTAAGATCATGAGCACTCATGAACTACATCACAGAAGTACATGCAGAAAGAAAAAACTGCGATACATCCCAGCAAAAGCGTGCAACCCGACACCGCGAACCGTAAACCTCACATCCTTCGTAAACGCAGGGCTTCGCGAGACTGCGCCTCGCTCGGAGGCTTCGTTTTCGGGGCCTGGCGGAATCAGCCATTTCAAGGCTTATCGTTGGCTCTAGGTTTACGGTTTGAAGTGTAGGGCCCAAGGTGTAGGGTCTAGGGCTTTAGGGTTTAGGCCTTTCGGGGTTTAGGGTTGACAGTGTCTAGGGGAGTCATTCTACTTCGGGCCTAAGGGTGCGCCCCTCTCGGACTCGGAAGTAGAGCCGAGCCGTAAGCTCGACGCTCGGCACGATAGTCAGAAAGCCACCACAACCCAAAAGACCCAGAGATCACAATGCGCAAGGATGCCCCATCACCAATGCATAAGAGCTTTGTCTTCCCACTGGATTCCAGGCTCACGGGCCTGAGATTTTGTGGAGTTCGTCTGCAGCTCCGGTATATCACTTCCCCTTCTCTGGGAATGAAGGAAGGTTGGAGGAACGCCGTTCAAGTCTGCGCATGCTGCCATCATGTTTGTTTGTAGCTCTCAACAAAGTACATACATAAAAACAAAGCAAACAAACAAAAGAAGTTAGAACTAGTTTAATGCTAATGCATACACAGATGCATGGCTGGCTGGCTGGATGGATGGATGTACGCTTGTACGTATAATATGCAAGCAAGCAGGTAGGCAGGCAGGTAGGCAGGTGACGTGCAAATGTGCCGCTGGGTTTGCTACTACAGAAAGTTGATGTGCAGCCTGGATCGGCTTCCCGCTGCTGACCCGATCATATGCCTGAGAGTTTGCAAGGGGAGATGAAAGTGGAAGGCGGCGGTTTCGGGGTGTAAGGTGTTAGGATTTGTGCTGCAGTTCTTTTTTTGTGGGCTCCTTACCCCATTCAAATTACCGACATCCTGCAACAGTCATCATATTGACTAGGAACACAGCCATCACAGCCCACACCAACCTTGCATTTACCTCTTATATTGCTAGCTGCCACTTTCCAGAACTAGGCACAAGACTGCCCGGCACAAGTATGCAACACAGCACCTCAGGCACTCGCACGCATCATCACTCTCGTTTTCACTGTTGGCATTCGCCTTAGACTCGTATAGTGTGGTATAGTGGATCAGGCCATATCGCACGTACCAAAAGCGTCCGTGGTAGCAAGGGTTTGGGGTTTGGGGCTTGGGGCTGAAGGTCTTGTTGTAAGCACTTCGGACTGGTTGTTGAACCCCTGTCAGCTCACCTGCAGGAAAGCTCAGACACACACAACACACACACACACGCACACACACACACACCTCATAATCCGAAAACCTGCAGTCCTGAATGCCTGAAATCCTAGGTTCCGGGTTCAGCCACGGCTGAAGCTCCGAAGACACCAAAACCTAACAACAGCGGCGGGTGTCCGGAGAAAAAACAACTCGAACGAGACCGAGAGATCAGTTGTTGCAAGCCTGAATGATGAGCCAGAAAGCGTAAACTCTGTATCTGGCAATCTGAGACTTAACGAAACCCGAAAACACAACACTGTAAGCTTCCAAAGCCCCCCAAACTCCAGGATCGTGCTGCCTTGTACAGTGAATCCAGGCTTCCTGGGAACAGCTCGAACACTAGCAACACAACCAAGAACAGTCGTAGTCGTAGTAGTGGAGGTGGTAATAGTATTGGTAGTACTGGTGGTAGTACTAGTACTAGTAATAGTAGCAGAAGTAGAAGTAGAAGTAGAAGTAGAAGTAAAAGAAGAAGTAGAAGAAGAAGTAGAAGTAGAAGTAGAAGTAGAAGTAGAAGTAGAAGTAGAAGTAGAAGTAGAGGTAGAGGTAGAAGTAGAAGCAGAAGTAGAAGTAGAAGTAGAAGTAGAAGTAGAAGTTGTGGTAGTAGTAGTAAGTAGTTAGTAGTAGTAGTACTAGTACTAGTACTAGTAGTAGTAGTAGTAGTAGTAGTACTAGTACTAGTACTAGTAGAAGTAAAAGTAGAAGTAGAAGTAGAAGTAGAAGTAGAAGTAGAAGTAGAAGTAGGAGTAGGAGTAGAAGTAGAAGTAGAGGTAGTAGTACAGGCAGTAGTAATACAAGTAGTAGCAATAGAAGTAGCAATAGTAGTAGCAAAAGTAGCAGTAGTAGTAATAGTAGTAGTAGTAGCAGTAGTAGCAGTGGTGGTACTGTAGTAGTAGTAGAAAAAGTAGTAGTAGTAGTAGTAGTAGTAGTATTCATTCAGCAGCGTCGCA